ATGCAAGCAGTGAGATGGAAGGACCTCCCACTGCACAGCTTTGTCAAAAATGATAATTTTGGAGCCTCTGCATATGTTCTTTCTTTCATGTTCTCACTTTTTGCTCAATACAAAAATTCACCTATTATGTCTCGTACAGAGAGCTCTGTTTCAGAAAGAATGTCAGTAACATAGGTGGGATACTTGACAAACTCCTTGTGGGCTGCTGGGAAGGGTCAAGTGAAGGATTAGCAGTGATTTTATTTTCTTTTTTTTTTCTTGGAATGGTCAGCAAGTGTCAGGTTCGCTACTACTACAGCTGACAGTTCAGCTCGTGTCTACTAGGTGGAAATGCAGTTCTCACTTCTAACCCAATGTTGCTCTTTACAGATGTTCAGGAGTATTTTGTGGTTATACCTGTTCAAAAACCAGCCTCTCCTTTTCTTATTTTTTACTGGACAGGTGGTTTTGTTACGTAGGTCTTTTCTGTGAGAAACAGCAGTTGCTAGTAAAAGATAAATGGCGTCTTTAAAGAAACACAATTTACCATAGAGAAGAATGGATGCGCTGTGTGCTACAAACAGCAAAATAAACCCTTTGTCCATTAAGAATTAAACCACCTTTTGCGATGGAATTTCTTGCAAGCAGAAGTACCCCAGTAGCTGACCTGTTCAGACAGAGCAAAAGTGAACTACATGGATGGGAATCTTTCTATTTAATTTTTACAAAGTTTTATCTCCAGTTGTTTTCACTAATTGAACTAAATTACTTTTTTTGTAAAGCTATACGATAAATTTATTTCTTCATTTATGGCATAAATATATGGAAAAGTATGTGAGTTGCTACAAACATCAATGTAAATTATATTCTTTGAAATCTATTTCCTCAGATCTAAAGACACAGCTGCTAATATTTTCAGCAACTAATTCATATAAAAATCCATAGAAATTAGGCACTTCATACCACTGAAAATTTGACCCATGATTACTTACTATAGTGCATATATCACACTGAGGGACAGAGTATAAAAGCTAGTCATTCACTTTAACCAGATACCCTTGGAAGAATACTTAGTAGTGATTCTCAAGAGCAGAAAGAAGGTTGGAAGGAATAAGGCATGTAACTCGCTTCATTGTTATTTACTTTACTTTCCAACTTCAGAAATATCAGTTAAAACTTTTCATTAAAATGCTCCAGACAATAATTAAATCCTGTCAGAAGCACTGCTATGCTTAAACATAAGAAACAATCACCAATTAAAGCTTAGAAGCTGGTAGAAAAATAGGGTCTGTCTCAAAAATAAGGGTCTGTCTCTCTTCTCACAGATGTGAAAGGCCTATTTGCTACTGTTCTACCTGGATTAAGTTGTCTGCATTAAGCACAGCAGTATTTGGGCTGCCAGTTCCTGGAATAAAGGCTCCCACTGTCTGCTAGAAGGGACTGAAAAACAGCTCTGCAGAATAAAAAAGAAAGAACCTAAGGGTCTGCTGGGGAACAAACTGCGCTTGGTAGTCAAGAGTGGAGTAGTCAGTTTGCTCTCACGCTTACTATTCCCAGAAATCTGCCCTGCAGAGGACAAACAGCAGCAGGTGGGAATGACTGACCAAGCACAGGGAGAACTCAGTAAGAAGAGTAGGGAACAACATACAAACGGACTGTTACGTTATCTTTAGTTGGCAAAAATGGTGACCATACTTCTCTGTTTCCTAAGAGCTAGTTTACTGATGTTTTTAGAAAATACTTCCTTATCTTGCTAAAGTAAATTTTGTCCTTTTACATCCTCAAAGCCCAGATGATGGCATGTTCAGGTTTGACTCAAAGCAGAACTGATTTTAAAAAAATGTATTTGACAGGTGTAGCAAATGGAAAGGGCAAACAACTTGAGCCGTGGAGCAGCGGTAGCCTGTGAAAAGAGGTGTCTAATATGGAAAGGGCTGTGGGAATAGGCAGGATGTAGGGGATGTGGGACTCATAATGCGTCCTAGTTTTGAAAGGGAAGAAAGCATCAGGACACACCAGTTCTGTTTGCAGAGATGGTGGGAAAAGGAGGCAAGGGAACATTAGGGTAAGTTGTAAGAGAATGGGGGAATAAGCATGAAGTGGGATGGCTAAATACAGAATTAATCCCATTAAAATTAAAAATTTGCTTCATAAATACCAAGTGCAAATCTCAGCCAAATACTAAAAACTAACCAAGAAATTACTAAAATATGTGTGAAGGAAGCCAAACCTTGGCAAGAGGTGGAAGATGTGGAAAAGCAGAGCTGTCCATAAACAGAGTTGCTTCACTGAGTTGGCTTTAACCAATGACATTCAATCATCCAAAAATGTCAATTCTATCATAGAATCATTATGGTTGGTAAAGACCTTTAAGATCATTAAGTCCAACCATCAACCGAACAGCACAACCAAAGTGCCACGTCTTCTTAACAAAAGACTTTTTTTCTCAAGTAGTACTTGCAAAGAGAGAGGAGCAATAACATGGAAAATGTTTCTGTGTGAGTCTAGCTGCTACCCTAAACCAGTATTGCACTTACGTAGACCTGTGCCTTTTGAAAATCCAAATACCAGTTTCAAAGCCACCTATTGGAGAGATTTCTGCACTCCCACATTATGGTCTTTTACTATCGCACAACTGACTGGCACAACCTACTCAAACCTCACCTTCGGTGACTGAACTGTTTGGCTAGCCTGTTGTTTACTTTCCGGTACAGGCTGCCTAATTTTGCATTGTCATAAGGACTGGAAAGGGGAAGTGTCTGTAATCACACTGGGTAGCTCCTTCTGTGTTTGTTTTGACAAGGCAGCTTGCAGGCAGAGCTCATGATAACCACTGCATCTGGCATATCTACTGATGCTGCTTGTCAAACTGGCCCAGATCTGCTCTTCTCAAGTACTCCAGTCTCTGAATAGTGGGATTTCCAAATACTTACATTAAATCCCATGCCAACGAGCCACAATCCCGCCCCATCAATTCATGATTTTTTTGGTGCAAGTGAAGGCAGAACTCAATCTTTATGTCTAACTGAAGCTATCCTGGAGCAGATAGTATTTAGTTTTTTTCCCCAAAGATACAACCCTAGTGCTATTACTACTTTTGCTGAATAGAAGAGCTATCCAAGTTTAAATTAGTGCTTTAAAAGAAATATTGCAGGAAATGTTAGTTTGGGGGCGTAGGTGGGAAATATGTTCCTTAATTTACTGGATTCAAGTGAACATTTTAAGTCCTCCCAACTTATTTCCCCTCAATCTCTCAATGAATCCTCTGAAGAAGTTCTGTCTTCTTTCAGTTGATGGAAATCTCCCAGTCAGCATTAATACTCAGGGCTAAATTTTCCAGCATCAGCACAGAGGTCTTCATATCATATGTGAAAACCACTTCTTTTTCTTCCCCATCTGAACAGGACAAGAGAGTTTACCATAAGATTTAAGCATAACCCTTCTGAAACACAGTTACACATGACTCCCTCCAGTTTTTAATTCAGACTGTCCCTGACACTGGTGGAAAGGATTGATTAAATAAGAAATAGTAGTCATATCTGCCCAGTATACACATAAGAATGCAGCAAAATTGGAAAAACTGTTTCTTTCTTTCCAGCCTTTCAAACCACGGCACATCAAACTATGGAACTATTCGAGGATTTTTCTGAAAAAGAGAACCCTTGTTTCAGCATAGGTTTTCTTCCGAACACCCTAAAAGTCCCTGAGATTGACAAGTGGAGGTAGAAAGTCCATGTCCATATGACTCACAAAGAGAAGGGACGAGCTTGGTAAGCAGCCAGAAATTATAAGCCCTTTCTGTAGATGCTACTGCCTATCCATATGGGATCCCTCACAACTTTTAGAGATCCCCACATACTCACAAACTTCAGACACTTTTGAATGAGCAAGAGAACAGAAAAATAATCCTGGTTTTGTCTGCAAGTTTCCTGTTCTAGACTAGGCAGGCTTACAGATGAGAGCAAATGGTCCTTCATTTGAAATGCTACCTCTGGTCATATTCTGTGCAGGACAAAGTTATCTGAACTTGATAATTCTTAGCCACTTTTACTGATATATCTATTGCCTTACAAAGCAAGTGTCCTTCAGTTCTGCGTGTAATATTAGTGGTGAGTAGCTGCTGTCTCACTAAATTCTGTCCTTGATATCAAAAAAAGTAGCAAATAAAACCAAAGATGCTCTCTATGCTGTAGCACTTCCTTTCTAGAGCTGTCAGTTTGCTACCGCTAGCAAATGGCAGCAGAGCAACAGTATTTCAAAAAATTGTAGTAAAATAGAATTCAGTTCTTTACCCTTGGAACAGGCTGTCACAAAAGTGGGTTGCTGTCCAAATCCCAGAACTATCACCCGTTCAACCACACATGTAGTGTGGTATTGTCCAGTTTCATCTGTGCAGCTGAAAAATGAAAATAATTTCATATACATTAGTTTCTGTCCATCTGTTGAAGTTCAGCATCATACAGAGAAAGTATTACTTCAGTCTCACCCTGAAAGTTCCCTATACTGCTTTCCTTTCCTCTATTTACCTTTCTCCTGAAACAAGTAAAACCTTCTCCCATTAACAGATAATTTTTCACTGCATTGCAGATTTCACAAAGTTAGAAGACAGAAAGTTTGAGAAGATATTTTGTGGCAAAAAGCATGGCTTTGAATACCAGAGAAGTTCTGGATTTTTGCAAAATGGTACTTAAAACTTCTAAGTAGAAATGTAAAGCTAATTTTAACATTTTTGAAGTAAGATGTTTCATTCCAAGGCATAATTACCTTTCATTTTGTAACTAATTTAATCTTTATTTAAAAACCCTAAAAAAACTCAAATCAAAATGAAATTTTCCTTTCCAGAGTGAACAGAATGTTGTATCATTCATCTCAAAATTACTTTTTTTCAACTTCCAGATTTGCTAGCAATTTAGCAATATTTTTCTTTTCTGTTCTAAGCTTTTCAGATTTCACATCTCAGATAAAGAGATTTGAAGCATACTTTTAACTACATTATCCAAGCTAGTCTACAGTTTTGCTCTGTTAAATTTTGTAGTTTTAGGACCACCTCCTGTGTATTTTTGAACCCTGAAGGAATAAAAAAACCCCTATAAAATCACCATTTGTACACTGCACAGCCCTATGGGCAACATACGTCAACAGTAAAAGTGTCATAATTGACATATTTAGCATTTCTTTCCTTACAAGCAGCTAGGGGTATTTTTGGCTTTTAGGTTGTTTCACTCAACCTTTGCAGATTGTTTCCCCTTGTGCTTCTTTTCAAGTGCTTTTCTTGTATATTTTACTGTGCTAATATATATGGTACATTTTTTTATGACTTTTGGAGACTACAGGTAATGGTGTCTGTTTGTGGTTCCCACATAGAATCACAGAATATCTCAAGTTGGAAGGGATCCATAAGATCATTGAGTCCAACTCCCTTCTCCTTACAGGACTACTTAAAACTAAGTCATATGACTAAGAGTGTCATCCAGATGCTCCTTGAATTCTGACAGGCTTGGTGCCTTGACTGCTTCCCTGGGGAGCCTGTTCCAGTGGCCAACCACCCTTACAGTGAAGAATATCTTAGCAAAATACAATTTAGAAAATACAAACAGTCTAGGTGTTGCCTATTTGCAAATCTCCCAGTTTTTCTTTTGTCTCTCTGATAGGCTTTACTCTTGCTGATGACTTTCTTTGCATTTGAGTAAATCTGTAGAATCTGTAGATTTGACTAGTCTGAAACAATATGAGACACCTCAGTATTTCATGTGTTGCTGCCCTTAGACTTACGCAGAACATTATTTACCACTGCAGTTTTATGGCAGATTCTGCATACTCTGGGATTTCGCTAAGCAACAGATGAGACTAAACCTTCTACATTTGTAAGAAGGCCTCATGAAGTACAAAAGGCATTTCCAATGACAGTGTGTTGGTGGCTTTTGTCCATAATTGCTGTTACCTGGAAGACAGAAAGTTCTTGTGGAAAGTGAATTTCCGATAGAGGAACTGCTTCTTGTGGAGGTACTGAAATGAATGCCCATCATCTAGGTAGAGCTCACCTACTGCACAGGCCTGTGAAACACACCAGATGGAGTACAAATTAACAGCAGCTTCTAGTGCTGGACAATGAAACTAAAAATGTCTCACTATATGTTATACTTCATAGTGAAGGGTGTGTGTTTATTTTCCTTTGGCAACCGCTACCCTTGGAAGGCTCAGAGAGTCCAGCTCTGAGAGCGCTTGAAGACTTAGACATCCTGGATTTGTAAATTGATGTGCGTGCCAGATATCACCTCATTTATTAGAAAAGACAGTTGTGGGAAGTTCTTTCTCTGTGTCCAAGAGGAAGTTTGTGGCCTGCTCATTCTCTGCTCCTTCCTCCAAGGGACTGGAGGAGGGCTGAGAAAGGTCAGAAAAATGTTCTGCCTCTGTTATACTCAGATAGTCTCACTTTTAGGGAACAGTGGGAGTGCCTCTCCAAATAGAAGTGGAAGAGAGCCATTGGGCATACAGCTGCAGATACCATTGTGTTGATCAGACAGGCAGCAAGGACCTGAAAAGGTCAGATAAAGTAAAAGGTAACTGTGTAAAGGGAACGTCATCTCGGAGTACCTCTGTGTCTAGGGCCACGTGGAGTTCATAAGAAATATCTATCATCCATTCAGTGGATTTTCCAGCTGTGGTCTTCAGAGGTATCACAGTGCCCCCCCGCTGGAATACAGGAATCTGCAAAAAACAAAGCCAGGGTAGAAAGGCGCATATACTCTGATCATATAATTTTAACTTGGAACAGGGATAAGTGAAGCTTGCTCTTATCAAAGCTCAGAAATTAACTTTTACCACAAGTACATAAAGAAAGCTATTCAACTGACAATGGGGATAGTAGTAATCTTCTTGCATGTGTACAAGTGAAATACCTTTGCTTGGAGAAGTCACCCTTACATCACCTCACTTTACCACCAGGACACAACAGTGTTCCATCTAACAACAAAGGAGATGGGACTTTTCTTCTCTACAAAAGCTATTTTAGATTACATTCCTGCCAGGAAATTGATTTTGAATGTTGACAGAACAAAAGCCTATTTGTTTTGGGTTTTTTTCCTGCTCAATAGAATTAGTATTTTAAAACAAAAACATACATTCTCCAGTGTCACTGGGATCTTCAGAGTGCCTGGATCTTCCATTCGTTCAAATTTTCTAAAATCATACCAAATCTAGGAAGAATGAAAAAAGAATGAGCATGACATATATGGCAAGAGCTGTCCCCTGTGCAGATGCAGTTACTCTTCTGCTTAACCTTACTGTCACTATTCCTAATAACCTATTTGATGTGCAAGAAATAGCATTTACTTTTTAAATCAAATGGCCTTTCTGGATGGAAAGAATAAATTCTCATTTCTGAAGCACAAAAATGAGCTGACCTTTTCTACAATTTGCATAACATCTTGTACGTTTTAAAGCATCTGGAAGTGCAAAACAATGAAATACCTTTCTTTCTTTTTTTAATCTAGAAATGCTAAGTTCCAGAATAAGCATATTTATATTGAAGTGAAAATTAATAACAAAGTTGCTAATAACAGCTCACAAAAAAGAGCTACATCTGAAACTTCCTATGCACCACACTTGCCAGCAGTTCTAACTGCTTTAAGTGTGCCAGGCAGTCAATTCCCACGGCGATCTTGATAAAAATATTTTTCTTAACTTCTTTGGAGAGCCTAGTCTGTTTTTCTCCTTATATTGAGAAGAGTTCTAAGTGTCCTCAGGTACATTACTGGATTCACAAGGCTCTGCATGGTCTCACACACTCCCCTTTGCTGCTGTTTTTCCTCTCATTCTTCGCTAGAGTCTCAAGCTTTCACTTAGGAACTATTTCCCCCAAATTCCTTCCCTTCCTCTACCTCTCAGCGGCTGCAGCCAACCACTCTGTGTAGCAGTGGATCACAGTGCCATCCTGCGGATAAATAACTTTACTTCAGAGCGGAACTAATCTCTGTACATGCCAAAGCCCTTGCTACACACTTGCCAGGCTACTGACACTTGTATTTCCTTGTTATAATTTTCCCTCCCCACAACTTCCCTCTGATTTCCTTATGACCTTTCTTCAAAGATCCCTTTTCTTCCACATAAAAGTTATGAGATGGGGAGCTGGAAGGCTGCTGTATAAAATAATTCTTTGGGCTAAACAGCTGAACAGCTTCATATTCATCCTTACCTCCTCTGACCCTGGAAACAGAACAGTCACTGCCTTGGCCTCTTGCTCTGTGACTGGATGCACCAGCAAAGCATTTCCTGGAGAAAAACAAACATGGCTGTTGTCCTCAAGGTTGCATCTCATCGGAGCAGCAGCTGTGTGCTCTGGGGTTGTCAGCCTCCCATTGCCATTTTAGGGGCTTGCTTGGGCATGCCATGTGCTTAGCTTCCGTTTCTACTGGAAATAAAGGCATGTGTAGGGAGCTGATGGCTGCTTGCGTCTTGTCCTGTTATGGCCCTGGGATGCAGCTGGCTGCACTGTATACTCACCAGCTTGGCAGCACTTCTGGGTCCCTCATAGCCTAAGAGGTGACTGCCTGTTTGCTCTTTGGTTGAACAAAAAAAATATGCTTTCCTAACTAAAAGAGTGGAAGACAGGAATGTTCTTGTAAAAAAAAAAAAATCTGCTTAAGCTTACTGCATTGTGGATGGTTCTTCTTTACTCCTAAAATAATACATTAATGTATATAGACTATACAGTTTGATAACCTTCTGTCCTCCTTCCTCACTGGTGATGCAAGCTGAACTCCCAGAGTCCTCTGGAATGCTCTGCTTCACCACACTTAGCTTTGCTGCCGTGTCCTGACTACCTTGGTCAGATTTCTTCACAAGAAGTGAATGTCCATGCATTAGTAGGCACTCTTGAGCTCACAGGTACAAAAAAATAATGAAATGCAACATTCCCGTCCCATTCTCTCTTCTCGTATAGGCTGATTGTGCTTTACACAAACACACTTATCTCTTACGCTTGATTTCTGAGAAAATTGACTTTACCAGCCAGACATATCAGAGTAAAAAAAATCAGCTGTGGATGGTAGTTGTTTGCTATTGTCATTTCTGAAGAAGACTGTGGTCGTAGCTCCTACAGTGAACTTTCATGTTTCAGGTAAGAACAAACCATGTTTTTTCAAAGTGACTAGGGAGACTGAACTCAGGTTTTGCACCTCATATGACCCCTATTTTCAAAGTGCTGTTAAAACCGGGTCCCTTAAAGAGGTCTCAAGTTCTTTATTCAGTTACAATATAATTTTTAAAAGTCTTGGGCAGAGTATTCATGTTTTCTTTTCATCATGTGACACTCGATCCCCTCAAAAATACTGAATTCAAATTCCAGAGAATGACAAGACATCTGCTTACCCAGCATGTACTCATTTTCCACACCAAAAGTTTCTATATTCCCTGGAAACTCTACCCAGAGAGGCCTGTAGAAAGATAGATAGTGGATTCAGTTAGTTTCTCCTCTCCTGCCAACCTGTTCAAGGCCTTCTGGCATTTTCAGGCTCCATTTTTCTCCCTCTCTTTACAAGGTACAGCTATCAAGAACTGAAGATAGGGCAAGATTTTCGTCTGTGCCTTAAAGTAGCCCTTTTGAGTCACTGATGAGAGGTCCCATTACAACATAGGTTAAGACACTCCAATATACCTACAGTTTGGCTTCCTGCAGCCTCACTTTCTTCCCTCCTGCCTTCTTCCTTAGAAACTTGCACTACATATACCTTCTTTCTAGCAAAGGAGAGATGGATAAGCCTTTCTGACACAGTCTACCAGCAATGCTGACACCTGATGAGCTTGTTCCTGCAGCACAGTCCTTCCTCTTCTCAGCAGCTCACGAGTGCTTTTATAGCCTGTCTCTTCCTGGTCATGACTGAAAAACCTGCACCAGAAGTTAATTTTCAGTCTTTCTCAAAAAAGGGTAGTGCAATAACCATCTGGTTACAGAAGAGGAGTTTTATATTTAAAGTTTGAGAGATTATGACAATAGTAGCTCATTCAGAGACAGGGTCTGAGTTTCCTTACACGAAAAGCCTGGTTCACCTGCTCACTCACGGACATTCGCTTGTTCACTGTAGCCCTGTTGTTCGTGTGCTCGCTAATGAGACACATTTTCCACTCTGCTTGTCTCAGTGAGAAAAATACCATGCTTCCTCTCTAATTATGTTAAATTTACTGCAGTAGGCACAGAATCGAAGTTTTATTTAATATTTTGGGCAGTGCACATGTCAACATAAGGTTCATTTCAAGAAAGACAGAAACCCAGAGTCAGTGCATACAATAGGGGCATCTATGCTTATACATGTGGAGAGACATGCTCACACTATGTCCATAATGCAAATGATCTTCAAAACTTAAACCACTCAACCCTTTTCAAAGAGACCTTTATGTTTTAAAAACTTAGGAGATGTATTGTATTTACATAACAATAAGCAAAGGTAAATGTGGTGCAAAAGGATGGTTCTAGAGCAACCTCAAAGACACAGCAATGCCAGGGAGATTAATGACAATCATCTCTTCCTGAAAGGATTATTGCATTCAGTTCCATTGAGACACTTTCTCAGAGGTTAGAGAGCAGCAGAACAAAAGTTTATTTTCTAATTTAAATTCTGTTCTAGATTATCAGATTCTCTAATAAAAGAAAAATTATAAGAAATACTGCAGGGATAAATGATCAAATTATCAATATGAAATAAGCTTTTATAACAGTAGCAAATATTTTCATGAGGGGCAAAAAGGCCTTTATGTTTTTAGGTCAGCAATTTCAGAGTCCATTAAGCACTGTTTTAAGTGTGGGCTGGAATACTACATAACAAGGTTTATCATCATGAGAAGTTTGGAGTCCACAGTACTTTAAAGACTGTGCAGTGTTTATTGAATAGTGTGTTCCAGTGTCATTTGGAAAAAAACCCCGAACATATAATTTTCCTCTAAGAACCCTACCAATGCTTGCAGAATGCATGAAAATAGAATTTAGTAAATTCTGTGTTTTTTCTTTTTAATATTTAAACAAGTAATCAGAAAAGTAAGTGATAGTAATTTAACTTCCCTCCTCCAAGTAACTTCCTGAAGATAGTCACTAAACCTCCTGACTTATGCTCTTACCTCATAACCGGTTCAGCCGCTGTGTGTGCCCGATAGAACAGTGTGTATAAATATGGCAGGAGGACGTAGCGTGCTCTAATGGCTTTCCTGATGATCTGGGTGTTCTTCTCCCCAAAGAGCCACGGTTCTCGCCGTTTGCTCTCCATGTTAGAATGACCTCTGAAGAAGGGCTGGTAGGCTCCAGCCTGATACCAGCGAACAAGTAATTCTGGTTCTGGATCTCCAATAAACCCTCCCACATCAGCTAGATATTGCGCAGATAAATAAAAATACACATTTTTGGAAATTATTCTGAAAAATGTGAAGTTCTCCTCTAACAAACATTCCAAGTGTATAAATCCATGCATTTCACAGTGTGCTTGCAGTTCTGCTGTTGGGCAGCTGCTTGTCCAAATAAGAGGGGAGAACTTGTGTAACAAGTTATCCTTTAACAAAAATCTCAAGAGAGCTTTTGAAGGCTGAGCAAGTGCCTTCCCCAGTGACAGAGGACTGTCACAGTGATGCTACAGAACATCACCTGAGGATCGCTGCTCCAGATGGAATGCAAACATTAAGAGTTAGTGGAGAAATAATGGCAAGAGCCAGGGTTTTGGCTTCTGAAACCAGACTAATCTGTGAAACTGCCTGGAAATGCACTGGACTGTTGAGCTTTCCATCATCTGTGTTGAAGTCTATGTTGGGATACAAGCTTGGTGGCACCAGTGATTTATGCATAGTGAGCAACTCCAGCTAAACACCTTACCTCCACAGAATGAAATCCCTGCCATGCTGATGGTGAGAAGCATTGGAATAGATATTTTCAAGTAACCCCACTCTGCCGTGTTGTCTCCAGTCCACACTGCCCCTGGAAATACCCAGTTTCAGCATTACACCGGAAAGTTGGGCATATGCTTCAGCTTATGCTTGCAGTTAAGGAAAGAAGACAAGAATGGTCATGAACTATTGGCGAACTGCTGTTCATTGCAATTTTCTTCCTTTATACATGCATGCTCCTGAAATATGTAATAAAAGCAGGTAGTGGTTTGTCACAGGATACAGGTTGTTATTCTGCTTTTAACTTGTACAGACTTTGCCAGCCTCTCCTGATCTTTTTAATCACTTGCGCTCTTATGAACTCACTCAGTATTTCTAAGATAGTTTCTGTCCTCTCTTAACTACCACACACCAAAATTAACAGAACAAAGCAGCATGGAAGGCATCCAGCTAATCCTTACTTACCATACCTCTGTGATCCAGCGAAGAAAGATCGTGTGAGGACAAATGGTCTCTCTTTTCCTGAAGAACGTCTGATGAGTCCTTCTGCAGTTGCCATTTGCTGAAAATCATTAATATAAAAGTCAGGAAGAGAAATTCTATGATTAGGATATTTGCTACATTGCTTTTTTAGCCCTTCCAAGGCAAGAAAATTAAGAAATCTGTACCCACAATAATACCTATTATTAAAGCAACATTTTCTTACTGGAATATACTTGAACAAAAAAATTATTAATATAGTGTAGTCACAGCCAATGTCACTTACATCGTTATAGTAGAGAGGCACGGATGTTGTCACATTTTCTTGTGACCAATCACAGAGTTTACTTCAAACATAGCAATAGCCAGCACAGTAGAGTTTCAGTCCTTGATGGAGGTTCCAGAATACCTACTACTGTGTAAATTACCACATTAGACATACTCCATGAGAGTAACTGCTGGTTTGTGTTTCCAGATACTCTACCTGGTAGAACCCATAGAGGTTGTGTACTTCCCGATGCTCCCAGTTGTTGTAGTGCACAGCATCTTTCTGCATTGTTAGTTCTGCCCCTTTGAAGACTGAAGGCTCATTCATATCATTCCATACAAAGAGGATATTAGTGGATCCCTATGATACAGGGTTGCAATTAGGACATAACAGAGCCATTGCTGTCACTTAGCATGCTTCTCTCCAGTGGGTGTCAGACCAGTCTGGGGTATGAGTAGAAACAGCGGCAGCAAAGCAAGACATGGTAATTATACTCCTGTGGTCACTTGAAAGCTGCCAGTCATTCATCTCATCTCTCTTTGTTGGCCCTTCTGGTCAGGGTGGCAGCCTACAAGGCCACTTGATTTTTGCAATTCTTACAAAACTCAGTAGGTACCTGCTATTCCTGCCGTCTGGTGAGGCAAAAGAGGCAGGAAAAGGGAAGTATTAGATAGCCAGGAGGAAAAAATCAGAGGCAGCCAGAAGAGGAAAAACTGGAGAAGGAATGGGAAAAGTCTACTATTCATGTCTACTAGGTTCAAGAACTCTACTGCAAAGCAGAACTTCGGGGTAGGGCGAACTAGAGGTATCCACCAGTGTTCACCCAGACACTTTCAGCACTCGGCAGGAGTACTGGAAGGAAGTTCAGGGTGAAGTGACTGTGAGCTATGAGACAGCACACCCACATCACTCCTTGTGTGCTAACACGGTAGTAAAAGCCAGAATTGCAGCAGGTCTGTTAGATTATGGGTTGCTACAATGCCTGCAGTTTGTCCATCCCATGGCTGCAACTAAGTGAGCAGGTTCAATGGTGGCATATGGATTCCAACTTTCTTAGTGTAGACAAGTCCATGGAGAAAATTCTTGTGCGGTACTTCAGCTCATCAAGATATTTTCCTCTACATTATGATAATACAGCTACAAAAGCCACCAACTTGCTTAGCCAGTAGTTTATCTTCTCGCTTTTCCCCACTTTCAGGTTTTCTGGGATATGTAGATCAAAGCAAATAAATACAAACCTTGTATGTTTTGAAGGCAAATTGATCTGTATACCATTTTCGCACTTCAGGATTGGTGAAATCCAGGTAACAAGAGGAACCTGTGGATGTGGGAGTTACCAATTATTTGTCTGATTTGCATTTTGCATGCATTGTCTTTGCACCTAAATACAGAGGCCTAAAGCTAGGATGTTTTCCACCATGGGCAGAAATAACAGGTTGTTCTTGTTTCTGAGACAAAAGCTCAAGAGCAAGTTACAGGTTGACTTGGAACTCAGTACACTCTTGCCATGTTCTGCAGACCAACACACATAGATTCTGGAGGTCTGAAGCTCAGCACCATTTAAGGATGACTGCTAGCAGTTTGAAATATGTTCAGATGTGAACAGGAAGCCAGGGAGAGACATCATTCAAATACACTGGTATTTTGAGCTCAAACAGGGAAGTGTCACTGAGAAGCTGAATAACTACATCCTGCCATGCTACTAGAAGTTGTAATAAGTCCTTGATTTTTCCCATATTCATTCCTTTGCCAGGATTGTGGGCTTTCTGTCTGCAAAGAAGGGGGACAATCTCCTTTGCCTCTCCACAATGAGATCCTCTCATAAAAAATTACATCAAATCACTATATTATGATTGAATCAAAGTCTTCAGTATCAGGGTTCACTTAATTTCATCCAGCCTACATTATCTGTGCTCACTGCAACAGACCAGACTGCATTTCTGTTACCCAAGACAAGTTGGGAAGAGGGATGGCTGTTCTGATCAACAAATCCAACTTTTTTAGGTCTGGGCACTGGGACTATCTGCAGGGCCAACAGATGTAACAGAGGAAGTTGTACATCTGAGGCAATTAGAACACAACTGTACCAAAGAAACCACCAAGTATTTGAAATGATGAATATTTACAAAGAATGCAAGGAATGTAAGAAGTCAGTTCCAGTTCCACGAGTCCCAATTAAACTATTCTGCAAAATTTTTAAAATAAACTGCTTGAAATGTAGAGACAGAGTGTTTTTTTCACCTGGCCAACAGATGCCCTCAAAATCTTGCCCATTTCTGTCTTTCACAAAATATCCCTTGTCTTTTGCCTGCGAATACAGGGTGTATGTGGGATCAGCCTTAATGTGAGGATCTACAATGACGACAAGCTGCCAGGAGAAGAAAATAAAATGCATCATTAGCATCAATTGTACTGAATAAAACAGTAAGAGTTCACTTTTCATAAAAGGCAGATAATGGTTTCACGTCAGGTAAAGAAGGTAGCTGTGTCACTAATTTTAGAAAGCAGTTATCAGTTCTTTTATATACTGTGCTAGACATGTATAATAGCTGAATTTACAAGGAGGGCATGAATTCATGCTCACACCTCCGAAATAAGGGCCAAAACCCATTGTTTCAGTTAAAAGCAAGTACCCCAACCCCTAAAAACACTATCTTTAATTCACTGCTGTATTCTGTGAATGGGAAAATATCTCACTTCCATGTTCATGTCCCCGCTTAAAATCATTTGCTTTAAGACGTTTAAATATATCTTAGTTTGTATAGCATACAACAACAACAGAAGTTTCTAATTTTTTTAAACATCCACATACTGTATTTTGCAGTTGCTTTCAGCTGCCATTAACTGCTGTTGTGGTTTAACCTGGCAGGCAGCCAAACACCGCACAGCTGTTCGCTCACTGCAGTGGGATGGGGGAGAGAATTGCGGGGCAGGGAAGTAAAATTCGTGTGTTGAGATAAAGACAGTTTAATGGGACAGAAAAGGAAGGGAGGATAACAACAACCACCACCACCAATAATAATAGAATACACAAAATAAGTGATGTACAATGCAAGTGCTCACCATCTGCTGACCGATGCCCAGCCAGTTCCTGAGCAGCGGCCCCTGGCCAGCTTTCCACCTAGTTTATATACTGACCATGATGTCATATGGTATGGAATACCCCTTTGGCCAGTTTTGGTCAACTGCCCTGGCTATGCCCCATCCCAGTTTCTTGTGCCCCGACCCCCAGCTTCCTCACTGGCAGGGCAGTATGAAGAGCTGGAAAGGCCCTGACTTAGTGTAAACTCTGCTTAGCAACAACAAAAACATCAGTGTGTTATCATTATCCTCATCCTAAGCCTAAAACACAGCACTATGCCAGCTACTAGGAAGAAAATTAACTCTATCCCGGCCAAAACCAGGATCCTGCCTTGCTGTAAAGCTGAGAAAGTACTATAGCTCCAACTAAGAGTTTATAAAACTTGAATGCTATTGCAACAGTCCCCTGTTCATTGACTTTTGGCAAAGATCAAGCATTAAACAGTTCTACAACTTTTAGATACTAATTGTGTACGTTTTGATATCTCTATAATTCCAAGGAAGATCTTTTAGCTGTAAAAGCAGAAATAAAGACTAACTAAGCTAACAGACTGCACATCATACCAGGACTTCACCAGAAGAAAAAAATAGTTAGTTTATGGTAAGTAATCATATCAACATAAAGGACAAATCTCAGTTAGTATAAGCAGAAAATAAAAAGTATTATCAACACAAACAAAAGCTGATGCAAGGATAGCAACTACCAATGGTGAAAGCTCACATTAAGTAGAAAAATTTTCTACTCCGCCCATCAAGGACAGCACTGGGCTATTCCATCTTCTGTAAGATGGAGCTTCACATGGGTCAAACTTAGCCTGATGGTCAGTGTACAGAATAAACTATTTATGAAATAATAAAACGGCATGAGGAACTGAATTAAGCAAGATGGCTGGTGCACTGGAAGCATCACCAGACTGCAGCACAGTCTAATTTACACTGTTGTAGTTAAACTGTTTCCAGTATCTGAAGAAGTTTGGTTAAAGCTAGATTGGGTAGCTTTACACTACAAAGAAAGATTTTTTTTCTTCCTGCTATATTATTTACCTTGCGTTTTTTCTTCTTGAGATGTTCTTGCATCTTTTGGGGGTTCTGGAATTTCTTTTTGTCCCAAGTAAAATACCTCTTGCCATCTGTGTGCTCTATATCCAGCCATATCACATCATAAGGAATGTCATGTTCATCAAAGCCAGCATCTACTGCCTTGACATCTTGCTCATCCTCATAATTCCAGCGGCACTGATGGTAGCCCAGAGAAAAAAGGGGAGGCAGGGCTTGAGTGCCTAGTAAGAGTACATGAATGAAGATAACACTGTTAATGCCCTTCAGGATTTTATCTAGAGACTCCAGAAAAGTTATCATGATTCATACGTATCTGTCTGGAACTAGGGAATGCTAGCCTAAGTTGAGTCTAGAGCACGTTCTTCATACCAAAGTGACTGAACTCTTGAAAGAGCAAATATTACAACGGGCTCAACAGCCAGAAACAGCAGAGGGTTATAAAGATAATACAAGAGTGAAAAGGAACTTGCTGTTCCATGATGCTGAAGTGTTATTCCAGTAACCAATATAAATTTATTCTTTAATTTTTTCTAATTAATATTAGAAATATTAATGTCTAGAAATATTCTAGATTAGCTTAACTGTCATTAATGCAAACAATTAAAGAGATTTTAATCAGTAGAATGCAATTCCTGTGACTGCTTGAACCTGAGTAAACACACCCACAGGTGCTGCAGTACAAGGAGAACCGTGGAACTGCAATTGTTAGGAATTTTTAAAATCAAAAAACATGGATATATGTATGCATATGGCAAAAGGGACCCAAGTGTGCACTTCTGCTTGGTGAAATTATCTTGCAATCTGGCTACTTTCCTACTGCTGTTTAGCTGAACCACATCCTCTCCATAACATCTGTGCAGCAAACAATCATTGCTAAGACACTAAAGAACTACCAGGAATGTTTCTGTGCTTTCAGTTCTCTTTAGTAGATAAAGAATTTTGCTTTCATAAAAGGTTAGTCCTCTTGCCTCCATTCTTTTAGTCTCCTCCTGAGCCTCTTGCTTCTTTCCTTTCCCGTATCTGCAGGTCATCTCTGCTCCCCTCCCTAACTGGACAGTTACTGATCTTCTTTCTCTACTCTCCAGGATACATTACTCCCTAACTTCAGTCTCTCTCATTATAAGGTGGTCTGTCTTGATGGTGACTGACAGTTCTAGTCCTGTGTCTCCTCTTTTCATCTAAAGGAGCAGTTTCAGAGAGCAGCAACTATGCAGGCTTCTCAATTATGGCCCAGTTTGACCAGCTGCAGATGCTAGGGAAAACAAGGATGAAGGCCTGTCTTCACAAAGCACCAGCCTTTGCTCTACAAACTGCAGTTTGGGAACAACTGGCCTCCTGCACACAATGTGCTAGGTAAATATTAACCCACTTTTGGGTACAGCATGTTCCTCAGAGAATGTCCCAGGTGAATGCGCCATACTGACTCCGATTATGTGAGTTAGTACCTGTCAGTTGTGCAAACTGCTTGAAGATATCAAATGCAGTGGGTCCCATCAGCAATTCTGACATCCAGCGCACATCAGTTAGGGGCACTGCCCTCTGCTTAGCAGTCTCTGCAGCAGATCCGAGTGACATGTGCTTTGAAGGAAACCAAGGTAAAACTGAGTCTCTCTATCAAACTTTTGTTCGATGAAGGAGCAAAGGTGGAAAGCCACAAAACTCCCTAACACATACCTGACAGGTATTAACAATACACACCGAATGTTTCTTACATATCCTTCACAAATCCTTTACCTTGCATACTGCTTATACAAAATACAGAGTAATAGTTAATGTGGAAAAATCGGTAATAAGGGGCAAAGTAATTAAAGCTTTTCTGTAATTAAAGACTATGCATTTTCTGCAGGATCTTTGAGTAATACCTATAACTATACCATGAGTAATAAAGAAAATTATTAATTTTAACCATGTAATGAAGTGCTGGAATAAAGCAAGATTTTTTTTTCACTGGTTTTATTTTAACAGAATTTATATGTATGTGTTTCAGGAGTTGAGCGAGTTCATTTCCTGAACATTTTATGTTTTTTGAAGTTCAGTTACAGTCCACAGAAGAATGATATGCAGAAATGTGTGGCAATTCCAAGAATTTAAAACCTCAGAAAAATTCCTTAAATCCAAGAGATCATCAACATTTTTTGTCCACCCTTTTTTCTGCCAGCTACATCCATCTGTGTAGATTTTTTCTGCTCCAACATTACCTATTTCCTCTCTGCCTTCTCCTGTAGACCTGTTAAGATACAAATTCTGTAATTTGACTCTTGAAAGGAGTCATCTCCTTGCTCTTTTCAGTGGTTTAATACAACAAATTTAGCAGTAGGGAGGACAGGAGGAAGAGACTGACAATTCTTCATTGGGGAGCAAAAGATAAATCTCCAATAATGTTGTCATGTTCCTGTTGGCCCTGCCCTGGAGTGTTTTCTTTCATTATTAAATTCTGGGGAACGTGAGCAACTTACCTCAGCTACTGCCTTTGTATTAATATCCACCAGCGTTTCTGAAGAGTTCAGCCAGAAGATCCCTGAAGTTCTGTTAGGCTTGTGTGCTAAGAGAAGGGGCACTGAACCATAAATGCCTATTTTGTCATGTATCTTGTGGCCGAAGATATCCAAATTATAAAGCTGGTAGGCATCACCATCACTAGGACAGACAGATATGTTTGCTATATATAAGTGTCCTGCACCAGGCCAATTTTAACTCTATTGCCATCCTACTAAACTCAGTGAAGACTCAGTGAACGCTCTGTACTATGGTCTTTTGTTTAGCATTCAGAGCTGAAATGTGGACAGCCTAGATTACTGCTTCTTTGCTTTGGTCATAGCTATCTGAATCAAACAACACTTTTGCTGCCAGTGAGACTACTGCTCATTTACTCTCAGTCCTAAAATATGAATTCTGAACTCTCTCATACTCCCATGGAGTTGCTCTTTTAAGAGTTCTGCTTAAACATGACCTATCTTGCAATTCTGAAAAAAAACGCATGGAAAATTGAGAGAGAACATAAGGGGTCATTCATGAAATTGCAGAGTGGAAAGGCAAAGCTGAACAACTTACTCCATGTGGGCAGGGGCTATGATTCAGCTTGCTGTAACATTAAACTAAAATATACACTATATAATATACATATCTCAAGCTGTTGTCTGCATTAAATTATTAAGACAATGTTATAGGTCTCCTTTACAAAAATGATACTGCTTTCACTAGCAACCTGCCACCCTTACCTGGTGTTTTTGAGAAGAAGCGCTTCTGTGTGTTGTGGTATTCCATAAACATGGTCAAATCCATGTAAAGAGAAGTCCACACCTACAGAACTAGGACCTGTGGGAATAACATTAAAGGAGAGTTCTATTCTTAGGCTTAGCTGAAAGCAAAAGAGCACAGCACTCTAACCAAAAAAAAGCATTAAAAAGCAGGTTTTAATAATTAGCTCTTTCATATGTGTTTTCAGTTTCACTTTCATTATTACTTATGTACTATAGAGTTAACATTTTAAACAAATTTTATTGTATTTATTCTGATTTTGATCTGTTTAAGAAGATAAAATGAATCACTTCAATAGAAAAAAAATACATGTAATAGCGGGCCACTTCTTTTTCTGTAATGCAACTGCTTAAAATTATCTCCTGTTTCTATGCCAGTACCTACAAGACAAACTTTGCAGCATAGTGGTACAGCACAGTGGACTTTAGAGTCAGAGTTGCCTGTTTTCTTACTGCTCTTTTCTTCAGCCTCAGCTGGGGGAGTAGCATGCACAAGAGCCTCTGCCAGTGATATCATCTTGTCTCATTATTGAATCCAGAGCAACTTTTGGCAGGTGACCAGAAATCCTGTAGACTGACAAGCAGTGGCTTCAGGATCAGAACCTGACCATATGGACTTTAGTCCTCCAACACAGAGAAACAGAAAAAAACATAACGCTGGCCTAACATATCAGATACAGCATGAACAAGGGCAACAGCTTCCTGCCCCTCTTGTCTTGACTGTGAACTGAAGAAGCCCCTGTCACCAAAAGGAAGCTCTTTCAGACTTCCCTCTCCCTACTGCAGCTGCTGAGTAGTGCTGGTTGCTATAAAAGCGTGCGTGATAGTGGTAATGGACAAAGCTAACCAAGTCAATTAATGCAGAATACAACTGGAAAGACAGCAGATGGTCATAAATTTTGGTAATTAATAATTCAAATTGTATTTGAGCTACTGACCTACAGGTTTCTATAACCTACGTATCCCTTAAGATTGCTCAGTCTTTCCTTTTGTAGTCCCCCACTTAAAAAGAGTTTTTCTGTGACAATTTTTAATGCCTAGATATTGTGATTTCTGATATGTCGTGAGAATAAACTACAAGTGAAATCACTGTAACGTGCTGATACTGAAAGAGAAAAAAAAGGAAAATAAAAAGGAAATAAGGCATTATATAATAGCCAGACAGCAGATAGGGTTATGCTGTGTCAGAAATGGTACACAGTGAGCTGATGAAATGGGTCACATTTAATGTGTTCCCGCCGAACAGAAATCTAATGAGTATTTCCAGTACTTTTGTCAAATTTATTACCCACCACTGATATCTGATAGGCAAGTTAAAAGGAGGAGTGAGTGACACACTGATAAACATTAAATAGCTAAACAGAAAGCAGACAGAAATATGAATGAACACAGGTATATACAAAGCAGTAAAGCTGTTTTCAGAGTGACAGTGAGACTTACCATGAGCTTTGATGTCTATGAAGCTGCCAAATTTCTCTTGCCAGAGACCTAGATCCTCTTGTTTCTCCTGCAGAAACAGAAATAGCTAAGCCTAGCAAATGCAACTGCTCACACAATGTATTTCTAAGAAAAATATATTTATTAACATGAGATTTATATATTGTTAACTATTTTTTTTACCAAATATGATCAATATAAATACATACAAACCACAGTTCAGATCTTGCTGCAGGAATTTACACTGAAGAACTCGTGTGCTAGTGGAGCACACATGTACTCTGCTACAGCATAAAATTAATACTCGAGGTCTTGGATAGAATCACAGAATGATGGAAGACCTCAGGTTGGAAGGGACCTCAGAAGATCATCTGGTCCTACCTTTCGTGGGAAAGGGAGCCTAGATGAGGTTACCTAGCACCCTGCTCAATTGCATCTTGAACACCTTCAGTGATGGGGACTCTACCATGTCCCTAGGGAGGTTGTTCCAGCGAATGATTGTTGTCATTGTAAAAAATGTCTTTCTTCTGGATGTTGAACATAATTATGAAATGTAAAGATTGCACAGATGGAGCCAAACAGGAAAACCTACACAAACAGGAACCAACCCACTCCCCTGGACAGTAAGGGTTACACAACAAAAAAACTCTCAAGACTCTGTGGAGTCTTCTGTGCGTAACTTATACTTTTAGCCTCCCTTAAAACTTTCAGTCTTGTGCCCTGCCATTCATTGTCCTAGAATTTCCACTTTTTGCAATGTCTTTCCTGATTTTCTCTTCTACATTCATCCCAGAATATGCAGATGTGGCCTCTTGCAGCTGTGTGATTCCCCCAAATCAAGCACAAAGCCAGAGTTCAGACACCAGTACGCTGAAGGCAACATATCTCCTGCCATTCGTAACAAGATCATGGAGTAAGCAGCCATCTGCTCTACAGTTGGCTGAAATTATATCATGGACATAACTCAGCCACCTGAGAAAACTGGCATGTGCCTTTATGCACTGCCAGGACCTGGTCATTTTTCAGAGACAATCTCACTTCTGTATTAAACATGAATGTATGTGGAGGCCTATTTTTGGACTGTTATAAAACAAGTCTCATTCTTTTCAAATTCTCTTTGCAATTAACAAGGAATTTGAATATGACCAAATATCACCACAAAACTCCCTTTTACACATCTACTCCAAATCAAATGAGAGAACAAAAGAGAAAGAAATTCTAAATAAAAAGACCACAGAAAAAACATGTCTAAGCGAGATCTACCAGACTGATGCCTTCTACAGCCCTGGTAAAACACACGAAACCTTATTCAACTACGAATTGGCAAAATATCTCAATATGAAATACCAGGTCCCTTTTGAATTTCACTGGAAAGTGGTTAGACTATGTTTAGTACCAGAAGGAATAACGAACATGTGATTCTAACTAATCAATTCTCTCTTCTACAAAATATTCATGCTGGAATTGGAGTAAGCACGGGGTACCTTATAGAAATCACTTGCTGCTTCCTTCCTGTCTTCTGCTGTAGGTTTTCTAGTGAAACCAAATACATAGAAACAATCAGTTTATTGTTAATGTAAGGAAAGAATTAATCTAGCATTATGATTGCCTTATACATCATGTAAGAGTTTTGGTGCTGGACTATTCTGAAAATTGATGTCAAGTTGACAGCTCCAACTGGCAAATAATTTTAATATTCAATGTCTTAAAATAACCTTCACTCCATATTTGAGTTAGGTTGACTCCTTGGCCTTTCACATCTATTTCTATCTGTGCCAGTGTTTTACCTTCCCAGAAGATTCTTACTTCTTTGTTATTCTCTCTTAAGGGCTCTCTGTTAACTACAATTTTTGAAATAATGCTCTCTAGGTGAGATGTTTGTTGTGCTCTTTTCCTAGTCATGACATGTCCTGCACTGTGGTTTCTCACCCTTTCAGCACTTTGCAGTGGGATTGACCTGTAAAATCTTGCAGCTATATGGCATATTGTAAGCTGAACAAAACTTACTTCAAGAGCTTATACAGTGAACAAAATTTACCTAAAGAGTAAGTTTAGTCATAAAAGGTGATGAAACTGACCACCTTATCATACTGCCACCACTCATTCCCAAGAAAGACAAGGATGCTTAGTGTTTTACAGAATTGGCCATTGAATGAGGTTAGCATTTTGCACATGGCTGCTGCAAGGGATTAGAACAGTCTGCAGTTAATTAATCTAGAATTTCTTTGTTAAAACTTCACCATTGTACTTACTGGTATGAAGTAAAAGAGAAGACAGATTTCAATGCATAAGAGCTTCTATCACAGAAATTGCAATTCCATAGAATTGTTTATCTTCAGTTACAGCACAATCAGTACATACCACAATGTGATAGACAGATACTGTACCTATCATTGGGGGGTGGTTGTAGGTGCTCAAAATATAACAACCCATTGGAATTCATGCTCAGAACAGTCTCACCCTTGGACTGTAGCTCAATGTGGAAGGGGTTTGCTGTGACTTGAAGTTTGTAGTCCTCATTAGCACTTGACAGCACCAAAAAACCTGCCTCCTTCTGGGATATAAATAGTCTGGCAAATGAAAAGCAACAACAGCTTTACATCAATCAGCAGCATGTGAAATCCACTTGTAACTAAATAACTATTTGAAACAGAAGATGGGCTGAGAATATCCACACACATTATAAAAACCCCAAGGCTAATGTTGAGGCAAAGAACCCCAGAAATACATGCTGTGTTCAGGCTTCACTGCACAGTGCAACAGGTGGTTACAGAAGTGCCATGAAAACTATTCAGAGTTTGCATACCAGCTAATGCCTTAGGTAAAAATGATGTATCATTAAAGTAAGCTGTTTTCTGATTGGGTCAAACTGCCTCAAGTTTCTTATGCATATAACAAAACTTTCTCCTATGTATTTAATGTGAATTTTTGAAAGTAAATTAACCACATGCATTTTCTTTTATCTTCCTGTAACAACTTTGTATTGTAGAGAGACTACTACATCTGTAGTGTAGTGCAAATGAGGGAGAAGGGAAAACATTCTTGCAAGTGAAGCTGTGTAAGTTACTCAGGTGCTAAATCATCTTCCCATCACCTACCTCTGGGTGGTAGGTTCCTTTATAAGAACATCAGGAACTTTGTATCTTGCTCTGAGAGGAGCTGCTTCGTCAATTTTAAGCCTGAAAATATTGCCTTCTATTTTGCAAATTTCTACTTGTAGAAGAACCTGGGAGCAAACAAACAGATAAACTGGTAGTGATAACAAATACCAAATTACTTTTAAACTCAACATCACCAAACACTTACTGTCTGGAAAAAAATGTCCCTGCTTTCTGACTTAATGATCTTTAGCACTGCTGAGCAACAATCATCATCCACCTGAATTTACACCAGCTAATGCTACTTCTCCCCTTTGAAGAAGCAACTCTTTTTAAGTGGACTCTCTATCTTCAAGTCTCCCATGGCTAGCATTTTGCAGCTTTCCACACAAGCAGCATGGAAAACAGGGGTAGTATACGTTAATCTTAATCTCAAAGTTTGGACAATTTCACTACTGTGCTGTCAATGTAAGAGTGGGATACTACTGAGATGTGGGCTTTTTGCAAAAACATAGTGGCCTGTGTTCACTGGTATTCACAGTGGTGCTGACACTGATAACTGTGTCAGAACGACACCTAAAGAAAATGCATAATACTGCCCTGTGCACTGTAACTTATTTTACAGTTCAGGGAACCAGGAAGTCACTCTGTTCTAGCTCATACAAAATGAATCATTTTTCTTCCATGGAGGATTGCTACACCACAGGTCAGGTTTTTTTCTGTTTTTTCCTTTCTTAATTTCTCCTCCCATGAGACACAAAACTGGCTGAAGTATTTTGGCCTGATTATCTTTTCCATCTACCTGGAAGCCAGTCAGACCTGCTTTCTTCAAAGGCATGAAAGAATGAGAAAGGGAGAGCAAGCAAGAGAGAAAAGATTAATTTGGAGTTCCAGATCCTGCTTCCTCAAAAATATTTTACATTATGCCATCTTTTTATAAACCCCTGAATAGTCTAGGAAGCCACAGAGCCTTCAGTCTTTCATCTACCATAAAATCTAGACCAAAAATGGGCTCCTTTTTCTGTGCTGGCTGCAAAGAAGGTTAGGATTAACAAGAGAGGCAGAAAATACATTTATGCAGAATATCTACACAGTATGATGCTTAGAGCATGGAAGAGAGCTGTAGTTCTAAACTCCCATAATCTGAAGATAGGTTAGGTTGCCTGTTCCCTGAGTGAATGTGCTACCTGCTACACTGTTAAATTAGTGAAATAGAAGACAACCCTCTCCCTGGCTGTCTTCTTAAATGTGAAGATGACTTCTTTTTCCCAATAAACTGCCTTTGAGCAAACACAGGACTACAAAGGTATGGTTAGGAGGTGCTGGAACATAGGTCTTCTTATTCCATTACAGAAAAAGAATTTATTATTTTGGAATAGTGGAGAAAACTCTGAATTAAAAACATTTTTTTCATCTAAAAAGAGTTCTATTCAGATTTTTCATAAAGTTGTTAAAGATTCTTTTTAAGTTCCTTAAAATATCTGTTCTCCTTGCACAGCCTCAAGTTGTCAAATAAATACTGACCAGTGAGGGCATCTTTAGGCTGATACTTTGCATCTTATCTTAAATATCTATCACTGAAGAATCTCAAAACCTGCAAATATTATCAGACTTGTTGATAATATTCACCTCTCTCTCTGTAAGCACCCTTTTATGCTAGGTGGGATCTCACCTTATTCTCCTCATGAATAATTTGGAATTTGACATTCTCATCACTTAACATGACTGAATCCAACAGTGCTCGATACAAGGATTTTCCAGGATGTAGACGTTTCTGACGCCTGTCAAGACAGAACATTATTTATCTCCCTAATTGATGTGGCTTATATTACACAATAATATTGTTAGAAATGTTTATTTAATAATTTTGTCTTTAATTTTTTCAACTACAATTCTTATCAGCACTTCAAGTCAAGCAGGAAAAGAAAGAATATAGTTCTGAGCACACATACACGTTTGAGATGTTAGAGGGGCTTGGTCACCCATCACCACCATATAGGTTTTTTTTTTAAAAAACTTTAGTAGTCTTAATTCAAGTGTCCGAGCTAAATTCTCAGTTTTCTAGTCACACTCTTCTTCTTTCCATGGCCCCAGAAATTTCAGATGAAAAATCTATTTTTCATTTTCTGTCATATACCCCTGCTTGGTCTGCTACGCCGCTCCCCCCCGCCCTCCCCCCCCACCCCGTGAACAGCTTCTACATTCTGTGGTGATGAAGCAGTGTATGTTTGTAATTTGTAACCTCCAGAATACACACTGAGGAAATTGTTTTTCAACAAGCCTGCTGAATACAGAGTTTTGACTACACCTTTTGGCCCTGATGATGGTTTTAGGACAGAGGCCCTGGAATAGAGGCTCTTTCAGCTGTTTGTAGAATGCTCCTTGCTGAACCCAGGTTTTATGAACTATTTGAAGATAAGTGTCTTGGAGGCTACCTTAGAGGGAAACTTCATTAGTAAACTGACTTTGTTTCCTTGCAAACAGATATTGCACAAATGTGAGCAATCAGATAAAGTATTTCTTTTAAAAGCATAGCAAAGACAGAATCTGACGCTTGCCAAAGTGTGGCAACCTCCTGCTGAGAAATTAGAGAAGTTAAAATGGTGAAAGGCTAGAAAGGGTTGGTGTGAAAAGAGGATGGAGTCCTGCTCACACTGGCAAGCTGTTATTTGGGGTTTTCTGAACATAATTTCCTGCAAAACAGAAATTAATATCTGAAACTGTAACCCAGTACATCAGTGACTAATTGGTCTAACACTGGGCAATCACCCCTTTCACCCAGGCAGCACTGGATAGAAGGAGGAAGGATGGGCGGAAAAAAAGCTGGAGGAGAGGTATCTCAGTTAGAAATACAATAAGAAGGATCCACTAGCTTATAATTAGCTTTAAGAGACTAATGAGTTAGAATTTAGATTTGATACTGAATTCTGGCCAAGGTACTTGTTCAACAGGACTGTAATAATTTATGTTATTGTCACAGAATAATGGTTGCTATTGAGAATTCCGTTGTTTTGAACTACATATATTCAATACCCATGTCAAGAAAAACAACCGGTGCCTGAGTGTAGTTAAAACATTGCTGGGGCTTTGTCAGATGAGAAGACTGACTCTTTTGAATTTTAACAGAAGAGGTTTTATATGTAAGATTCCACCTTTTAAAATATGCTGACAGGTGAGTGGAACGCTCACTTTGAAAGATAAACCCTGAACGTAGCAGACTTGCTGTGATTAAAAACCAATGTGTAACTACTTCCTGTATCTTTTAATATCACTAGTTTTTTAAAAAACCTTACACTACCATTCTTCTCTTTACCTGTAAAAAGCAATCTGATTGCATTCCTTAAAGGTGCTTTTGTCCACAGCCTCATCTTGGACACTAGAAAGAGCAGATAGAGAAAATGTTTAAATGTGTTCACCAAACACCTGCTGAATGATCAGATGATGGGGGTCCTCCTCAAGAGATGTAAGGATTAAAGAGAGTGCAGACAACTGTGGTGACATAAAATGTGCTGGACTTTGAACCACTGTGTTTGGATATGGGAAGAATTTCTTACACATTCAGTTCCATGCTAAGCCCTTTCCTTTTAAACTTTGATAATTGAATCTGTGACTAACAGAGCTGAATTTCAGCATGAGTGAATTCTTGGGGCTTTGCATTTTGAAGCCAGATCTCTCTCTGCAGTTCTTGCAGTCAAGTATTATGTTCCAGTAATAAGAATGGAGACAGAGGCAGGATTGGCAGGAAAGGAGAAACCCTGCACCCTTCCACCCTTTTCTTCTACCTGCAGTGGGACTGATGAGGGAGGGAGGCTTCTGATGGCCCTGCTGACAGCTCTGTGGTATCTCTAGGCTTGAGGTAACTTTTATGTCTATCAGATAACAGCAAATTTGTGGCTTGCCTGAAAAAATGGACTGCTAGTAGTGTCCATCATCAAAATACTTCCCGTAACATGCCAAGGTCAGACACACATGGAAGAGAATAAGGTATTATTACTGGCAGACAAAGAGCTGATGCTTACAAAATACTTATTGATCATATACATGCAACATATATAATCCAGGTGGCATCCATGAGGACTCGGTCACAAGTATTGTGAACTAAATATTAATAGACCTGGATTATTATTAGAGTCCTCACAGTAGCCATATATTTAGGCAATTTAATCCTTCTCATTTTTGCCCCTGAAGATACCCACGTACTTTTGGGTTTTTGCACCAAGTCTGTGGGACGATGTTGCCACATTTACCACCCTGCACCCGAACTAACCGGCGCGTCGTGAAACCTGCTCTCTGCCCTCCCCGCGGCCAGGTATGCGGGAAGGTTTTGCCCTGGGAGGGGCAGCGGGGATAGCACCGCCTCGGCCCCCGGCCGGCTCTGGGCCCT